TGGAAAGAGTATGCCAAAATTGGACTAACCGAATGGACCTTATGAGGCGCAGTCACGTTCAACATTTGCATGAAATAATCTTCAAACATTAAATTATATGGACCTTACTATCGATTCAAATAAATATTTCATGCAATTTTCTGAACTTTCATATAGCTCTTAAAAAACCACCCTTTATATATATAATACTCCTATTAAATGCGCTCAGGCTTCATGCATTATTTCTTGAATTTACGTTGCATACATAAATGCATTTCTATGATCGCTTAAATATCCTTTGTTTTTAACAACGTTTATGCACTTTCCTCTTGCTTATTCAGAAATTAATATGAAATATCCCTCCCTCATACGCATAATTTTCAAAGTATCCATTGCATACGCGCCAAAGAGGTTTATGGCACTACTACAAGGAGCTGCATTTATGCATATATGCATAGTACATATGTACATAGATATAAAATACAATATATGCCACGTTTGAGTGCATAAAATTTTCCATTTTCTCAATCTCCTATTTCTTGTTGTTGTTAAATATTAAAGAAGCACAGGGATCACTTACATGATTTTCAGTGCATAAATATTGATAAGTGGAAATTTTCTCCTCACTTAAGGATAATTAAAATATGCTGAAAACGAATTTAGTTTGACATATAAGGAGGTAAATACTAAACAGAATAAAAATATCGTTTGGGATCACGGTCTTGCAGGTGTAGAATAAACCTAAAAAGGGCGATTCAGATTCAAATGTTGCCTCAAACAATGAGAACTAGAGAAGCATCTAAGATTGTTGTACAACTTTTCTTTTGCTCAAGGCTCGTATCAAGAACTTGAGGAACATTTGAGCATTCAGCAAGCACAATGAAGATAAACCAGAGTTTATTCGCAATATACTAGCATCAAACTTGATTAAATTCTATCCATATATATTCATAATCATGCGAGTAATTTTGACAACACCTTCGCCTACACAACAAGTCACGCCCGCCTGCGGAGAAGAGATAAACCAGCCTTTAGAAAGAGTAACGTCAAGCCAGCAGCCCGTTCCAGCTAATGGGCTTTATGTTTTAAATCAGTTGAAGATTTTATTAACTATTGTTGGGCTTCCGATGTCGAAGCAGATCCAATAAAATAAAAAAGTATCCCTGGTTTAAGGCAAGTCTGGAGAAAGCGTCTCCACGCTATGCTACTACCAAAAACTCCGAGGATAAAACATAGAAGCGAAACGTGAAAACAGTAAAAACAAAAAGTGAAAGAAAGGAAGACTTAAAATCTTGAATTATGATGGATATGCATTCAAGCATGGTAGTTTACGCATTTTCTTTAAGAATTTATTCCGATTAAAATCTCATTGATAAAATGAGATCTAAATTCAAGAGTACTTATGGCATCCGGGTGTGGATTTTAGTCATCATCTTGGTTTTCTAGAGAAATCCTCAAATGAACCATTCGCTTAGTCCAATTTTGGCATACTCTTTCCAATATTTCGGCCGGCATTCCACGAATAAATGCTTCAATGTTGTCCTCAAATGCGTCAATTGAAGCAGGATCGTCTGTATGGACATTAGATTAAACATAGCCCCACGAAAAACTAGTCTAAAGGCCTTAAATCGCACGATCTAGGCGGCCAATTGCCCGGTCCTGAACGTGAAATAAATATAAATGTATAAATAACTTTGATCTGAATGACTGACGCATAAACCACAGCTGAAAACACTGATCGTAGAGACTTAAAGTTTGGGCATCCGAAGAGAAAGGATTGTCGGGAAAGTGGACTTGAGACCTATTTATACGAAAAAATTGATTTTATATAATATTTAAATTATTTTATTGCAGGAAATAGGACTGAGATCGACCTATTTGTTACAGAGTCAGCATTATGCTTAAATTACCATTGGAAACACGTCTTCTTGCGGGATGTATGGTATCGCCGTTTTTGTTTCGATTTACTTGATATTTGGAACTTACATAGAAAGCGCTTACCCCTTAGCCCATTGCTTACGTTAACACATAAATAGCCTTTCTTTCCCAGTCCGGTCGGTCTAAAAGAATCATAATTATGGTACGATTCGTTTGACATTTGAATCAAAAAATTCCCATTACAGCGTTATCCGTTTTGCGTTTTTGAAAGTAAACTTTTCTCACGAAATTATTACTTTTCATCATAAAGTTTGAATCTTGGCATTATATGGAAGCGCGGATTTTAGCAAACTTCAATCCCTTTGAGGTATTTTTCGACCACATTTTTGGTACATATTGGGCGAGATTTTAGCCATAACTTGGCGATTGTTGGTTTTCAAGTGCTCAATATTTTATTTAAAAGTTTATCTGCATAAGCATGATCTGTCGCGCAACCTCAAAAAATAAAATCCAATGGCACCAAATCGCACGATCTAAATGTCTAATTGATATAGTCAAGACGAGAGGTTACGCAGCTAGATAATTTCTCCGGCGATAAAGCCATATGCGCTTGTGTTGTGTGGGATGTTGCACCCTCTTGTTGAAACCACATATTCTCACAGTAGTGTTCTTCAATTACAGGCTGAAAAAGTCGGTTAGTATATGACCATAAACCTCCGAATTAACGGCTTCTGATCCGATTCGATTAAAACCTTGAAATTGTCACCATCAACTTCACTTGGCCGAGGTGAGTTTGGCTTATTTTTGAGTGAAAAATCTACTGAATGGAATTTGACAAACCAACTACGATGCTGTGTTTCTTTTTAGACCTTATCAGCATACAGATTATGTAACTTTTTAGCAACCTGCGCAGCACTTTTTCCTTTAAGGAAATAATAAAATAAAGTTTGTGGGTTCCAAATTAAAATTGACGACAAACAAACAAATATAAACCAAACTACGCGTTCCTTGTTTCTAAAGCCAGCTAAAAGTGACAGCTTATAACTGTAGAAAAAATACAATTAAATAGTCACAAGCTGTTCAATACAATTGTCAACGCCGTCTGTATGAAAAATCGCCGGCTTCTTTTGGTACAACCCAACATGTCAACCCCTCCAAGTCTATTTCTGACATGAAATGAGAAGCCCACATAACAAATTCCTGAACCATTCGAAGATGGCTTAAAACTTAAACCTCCTAAGGAAAAAAAAGCCAGCCAAAGTATTTATATAGGGTGTCCCCCGAAGGGTAATCCAACAAAGCTTTTGTGTTTCAGATTATGAGTTTTCATTGAATCATAAAATACATAATAACGATTAAATACATACAATTCTTGCAATAATTTTGTGGCACCCTATGAATATCATAAAAGAAGTCAATTTAAAATACTTTATGACGTCATATTTAATCAAAACCTGAGCCAGAGCGTATAAGCATATAATCAAGAACTCATATTTCAGCAGTAAGCTCTGATATGATACACGGTGTGTCCTAAAAATAACCGAACTTTATATTTAAATCATACAACATACAGCGCCATCTATTGAAAATTTGCAACATTAAAAAGATATGTACATTCATCCTCTTTCAAAAGCACATAACATCATGTAAGGCGGATGACAGATGTAAAAGTCTGCTTATGGTTCAAAAATAAAATGGAACAAAGAGCAAATATAAAATTTTGTGTCAAACTTGAAAAAAAAATTAATGAAAAATTTTTATTGTGATGATTGTATGAGTCGTACGCAAATTTATGCGTGGTTTACACGATTTGAAAATGGTCGTGAGGATTAAAATACGAGTAAAAATACTATTTGAAGAATTTTAACTGAAGATTTTCGGGAAAAGAAAGGTCTGTGCGTAATTTGTTTCACATGAATTAAATGACGACCAAAAAATCGCTCGAATTTTTTAATGAAAAAAGGGATTTCTCTCATCGACCGTCCTCCGTATTCGCCTAACCTTACACCATGTGACATACAAAACTGAAAACCAAGATGAAGGGAGCATTTATTGATGATATCCCAGCCATTCAAGCAGCCGTAACCGAGGTACTGAAGAACATTTCTTTAAATGACAAAAAAAAATCTATGCATGCGCTAGTTGATCGTTCCAAATGTTGTGTTGAGTCAAATGGAACCTAAATATCCATAAATAATAACTTTCAAAGCTAATATAATGTGTATTTTATTTTATATCCAAAAAGTTCGGTTATTTTTGGGACACACCGTGTATGTCCGGTTCAGTCAAAAGCGTATTAAATTGCATTTGTATATCTCAAAACTGAAGAAAAAAGTCTGCAGCCATACTAACGTTCTCTGACCAACAAATCATTCTGAAAATAGAAGTACCAATTTGAATGTTTTCTGTTTCTTCGATACGCACAAATTCCGTGTCGAGCATAATGCTTTTCATTCAAACGCTCATAAAGTCTTAATCGAGAGTGAGAGTTTACAAAACAAACCACTTGATTCTAATAAGAAAATCCGAGAAGAATTCTTCATCAAGTACACGAAACAATACACTGTATCGAAGGCCATAAAAATAAATTCCCTCCACTACGCACTTCTTACAATCAGTAATTTTTAATGCCACAGGTAAATGCATAATCTTACATTTACAATGTAACAAGTAGTTAAATAGCTGTTGTTGTTGTTGTTGCTGTTGTTGTTATTACAATTATGATTCTATTAATATGCAAAGCACAAACACTTCATGGTTAAATTGATAGTTCCTTTCGTCTCTTTGAATGCGTTAATCGCTCGCTCATACGTGCCTACATAATCAAGGGATGAAAATGTGTTCGCTCTTCGCTCGTTTTAAGGGACAAGTATTTCCGTTACACAGGTCACACACATGAAATACAACTTCCGATGTATAGCTCATTATGTAAAGGCCGAAAAGTGTAAATTTGATTGGATGCAAGAAAACGCGTAAGAAACGATTTTTTTTTTCTTTTCAAAACGGAAAGTTTTTTCTCAAGGTTGTGCAGTCATTCAAACAAGAATTCCACACAAACTCAAATAATCTCAGCCATTTACAGTCGCATTCAAACACATTTGCAAATGCCTGTAGTATTTTGGAATTTCAATTATTTCACTCACCTCATGTCCATGCTGTGACAAGGCCTCCTTAACTGCAATCATGTTGGCCGAAGTTAGTAGACTCTGTATGTCAGCGCCTGTGTAGTTTTGTGTGCGCGATGCAAAAAATTCAAAGTCAACATTGTCATCTAAATTGAGTGACGCCGCTAGTGCTTCGAATATGCGCACGCGCGCTACAGCGTCAGGCAGACTACATTCTACCAAGCGATCGATGCGCCCTGAACGCAGCAATGCTGGATCAAGTAATTCTGGACGGGAGGTGGCCGCTATGACTGTAACTCCTTGTAAACTTTCAACACCATCTAATTCGGTGAGCAGTTGATTCACCACACGATCTGTAACGCCGGTGGAGTCGTGACCACGTTTCGGTGCTAAGCTGTCGAATTCATCGAAGAATAGCACACAAGGCTTGGCGCTGCGTGCACTGGAAAATGTAAATGCATATGTATGTAGATAAGTAATGTATATTTAATTCATTTTGTTAATTATTTTAGTATAAAATTAAATTTGTAATCTAAGTATGTGAGAGAGATTCAAAGCACATCTTAATTTTTGAATAATAGAATGAGATTAGAGTATATAAGATGCTGAAAATCTGGTCGATTTATCAGGTCCAAAGCGGTGACGCCCCATCTTTGGCCTTCTTTAACAGATATGACATTATATGTGATATTCATATTTGCTAGTCCCACGGTAGCTCAATCCGCAAGCCAACGGCCGTTCAGCTAGAGAAGTTTTCCCTCTATTAACTCAGTATTCGATGGACATCGATCCCTGGGATAACATTATAGGCTCCTGTTTGAGAGTCTTCTTGTCAGTTCCTCGCCGCAAAATTTGAGTAGCTCACCCCGCAAACCATCGGCTCTCATCGCTTTGTTGTTCTCTCATCATCTCTATCCCGAACTTCGTCATAGTCGAGTATCGTAGCGTCTGTACCATCCTCGTCGACTTATAATTTCCCGGTGTTGCACTATCCCTGCATTTCAGCCAGAGAAGTTCTCCCACTATAAACTTAGTATTCGTTGGGCATCGATTTTGGAATTACCTTTTTGGTTCTTATTTCCTCGAGTTTCCTCCGGTCTTGAAATCTTATCTTAGAATTTTCGAACATTACCCCTGTCGGTTAGCTTCTGAAACTCCATGAATAACACATTTTGGTATCTTTCGTTTTCTGTATGCGAATGTGTTTTGCCTCCGCCCTCAACTCTCGGCATATATCTCACGTAATCGAACATATACAACGTTGCGACACACACAGTCGATTTCTTTCCACTGTTGTACGACATTCCTCAATCTTCTCCTGCCCTTGTCAAATGGAAATGTCATTCCACAGTTCTCTTATATTGCTATTGCTGCAGCAACTTGCTTAGCCGTGAGAAACAGCAGGCATAGTCGGACGATGCCAATGAGGGAGTCCCAGAAATTAGTAGCTTCGACGGGTTCCTACAAGGCGGTGAAAGGTGTGAGCTGAGTAGGATTTGGTGGACACACAACTGAGGTGGTCAGCGGAGCCTCATTGCAAGCAGGACATACGTTAGGTACGCTGGGGTCAGGTCTGCATAAGTAGGAGTTGAGTATGCTCGGGTCTCGCGAGGTAGCACGAGCTCTTCGTCTGCTATGGGGAAGAGACTTCATAACGGTTTTGACGAAGTCTGTGTGTGTGAATGGCACTAAGGGTCTATCTTTATGTCAACCAGTTCAGCGATTCTGTTCTGTGGTGCTGAATAAAATCCTTTAAATCGAGTACTCTCTTCCAGTGTTTGTGTTTGGCTTCCAGTAGATGTCTGCTAAGTTAGTCCTTACGCACCAGACCGCTAACGGATGTATCTAAGCCAGTGAGTAGACTCAATATTTGGACATTTGAGTTGTAGTTTTAATTTATTAAACCCATTCACATCCAGCTACGTAAGGCTGAAGCTAACAACCGCGTGGAAGAATCGACGACCCACTCGTAAAAGAAATGCTCCAGTGTTCCGTATTATTCTTTAGACGCTCTGCAATCAACCCATTCTATCTTACCTAGTTTATTTACTTGATCTATTTGGAAGTCACTCAAGGTCTAAAATACACCTCTAAGTTTCAGTGTTTTAGAAAACATAAAAAGGGGTGTTGAAAGGTCAGGGGAGTCTTGGAAAGGAGTAGGTGGCGTGCAAAAGTATTAGGAGTTGATCAAGCAACCGTTTTCAGACGATTAAAATCATTTTTTCGTAATCGGGCTTTACAGATTTACTAAACCCCGTATGCTTTGATAATTATTGTGCTAATATGTTCCCTCCTGTTAAGTTTTTTCTCAAGACATGACCTCATGCCTGCCGTAAGAGGCGACTAAAATCCAATACTTCCCGCGACAATCGGATCTCTATACCGGAACGACCCGGATTTTTATCCAGCTAAAGACTGTCGCTCCTGCAACATTCCAAAAAAAAATCAACAACAGTGTTGGAAACCAATGTTCAATTATGGGCTCATTTTTCGTTCCATTTTTCCATTCAACTGGTGTAGTACATCCTTGTCAAACGGATATACATATCAGACAGTCTACCGCCTACGTCCGCCTAAGTGGGATTATCGTAGGTACATGTCTGTGTAAGCTAATTATATTTACCGATTGAATAGATTCCGTACGTTCTCTTCACTTTGTCCAATATATTTAGCCAACAACTCCGGACCCTTAACTAATATTGTACGCAAATTCCATGAGCTCGCAATTTTCGAAACAAGGAACGTTTTACCGGTACCAGGTGGACCGTATAATAGAACACCAGCTTGATTACGAAGCGGAGAATGTTGAAAAATATTTGGAAACTGAAAAACAAAAATATAGAGACTTTAAAAATAAGCATAGCGACTTTAAGGTAAAAAAAAACTTACTCTTGATGGCCACATCAGCACCTCTTCCAACACCGAAACAACCGTTTCCAAGCCAGGCACTTCTTCAACAGACAATTCCTCAATATTATCATCATCGTTAACTTTCTGATGATTTTCTATGCCTTGTAGGCAATACGAGTTAGTCTTCGCCAACGAGTCTATTAATAGCTCATTTGTGAGCACAGGGTGTGTTTTGCCTTTCAAATGTAATTATAAATTTATACACAAATATCGTTACATTATACCAACTTACTTATTCTGTAGGCGTAAAATATAGCGCGCTCAACAAATTGCACCAAATCGCCTTTGTTGTACCCCTCAGTTAGATTTGAGAATTTACGCAAATCCAATTTTTCCGATTCAATGTGGCTGCACAGTTCTTTAAGTATCACTTCTCGTCCAGCACGCTCCAGACTGGGAAGTTTAGTCACATGTTGAAAAAGATGTCGACCACGTGGTGAATACAGACGTTTATTTAATGATTGAAGTTCATTAACTGTAGCAACTACAGCGATCGGATTGTCGCTAGTATACTGCACAATCAATTGGTGTACAGTATCAGCAATACGATTGTAGTATTCGCTATCCTGTGAAGCTTGATCGCCTGCTGCATGAGCCAATACGTCGAGATTTTCCAGAACGATAATTGATGGTGCATTTTGTAAACAAGTTGTAAATATACTACGCAAGTCCTTTTGTATCGATTCAGCCTGTGAATTAGAGAGCAATTGATTTACATATGCATACGTAAAAATGTTTATATGTGATTGAAAGGGTAACTAACCTTTCTTCCCTTACTTCTCGAACAGTAAAATATGTCGAAGAAGCAAAAATAAGGTTTCTTCACTAACTGATCCAATATTCTCTCCACCAGCACAGATTTACCCGAGCCTGCCGCACCTGTTTGATAAGAGATTGCAAGTTATAAAAAAAATGTATATTTATTTATGTATATTTACCTGCCACAAGTATATTGCCTTGCCTTAGTATCGCATTCTTCGAATCCAAGCATAAGTTCATTTTTAATTCATCTACTAAATTGTTGACGATTTTATCAAAGGCTGGCAGTTTTATCAAATCTTTAACACTCAGCGGTGATTCTATATTTGGTAGCGCGTCAACTATATCATCTATTTTGCGCACCAAATCGGCAGCATAGATTTTTGACTCTTTCAAAAATTGCGAATCTATAACACAATAACGAAAATGTTCTGGCAAAATACCAACGGTAACAATCAGATCTTCCTCTAAGCGCACAACTTCGTCTTGATTCAGCAGCATTGGCGATTTGTTGGTTCTCTCAATGACATAGCGTTTAAAAGCGTTTTCAATTATCTTATAATGTGTCTTCTTTTGTGCAAACAATTCTATCTTCTCGACAAAATTCACAACTGCAGCTTTAGGTTTCAGCACAACTTTCTCCATCTCCTTCAAATTCAATTTGCGCATGAGATTCAAATTCACTTGAATGCTGGTGTGTGCAGCACTTGGTGCCTCATCATCGGCCAGCACACGTACTTTCACATAATATTCCTGGTCGGTAGCAGTCTTCATGCTGTAAACATTGTCCAATTCCAAAAATTCCGGCCAAGTACTTTTACAAAGAAATACATCGGATATCTGAGATTTCTCCTGCCATTCACCACTTATAGCGCGAAATTCAAAGGTGTGTGTACTTTCTCGACGCAAATCTTTCTTCAAACGTATCATCTTATCATTGCGGCTTGCCTTCGCTATCGACTCTGTGCGTGTTAGCTTTTTAATATTCGCCGATGTTGTTGAACGCGCTAAATGTTGAGGTTCAACGCTGGCTTCGGATTGTTTACGTATTTGTGCGGTGGTACGGCTACGTATTAATTGACTAACGTTATTAGTGTTGCTTGACTCGCTGGTGTCCGTTGAAACACCATTACTTGATCCATTGGTAAGGCCTTTGTAAAGGTTTGGTGCTATAATCAGCTCGGTATTGTGGTCGATACGACCATAAGAGACAATTGGACGTAAGCGATCTGTGAAAATGGAATTCTTTGCATAATGTTTCAAATATATTCTATTAATCATTGTTACTTACCTACTGTTAAGGCCACTTGCATAGATTTGTTTATCCATATTATAAGAATTTGTGAGGAATTGACAATCCGAGTTTGATCCAAAACGCTGTTCGCAATCGTTTCACTACTGAGCTCCTGTGGAAATGAAGGGAAATGTAAAACAAATATGCCTAAATACGATTTTTCAAAAGCCACACTCAACAATCGGACAGCCAACAATTGCAATAGAGATTAACATTATTTTTTTTATAATAACTAGATGTAAACAAATTTTAAAATATTTGTCTGAAGCAAATAATTGTATTTATAACACAAATTTGGAGGCGAAATTAAATTATAAAACAAAAATTAAATTATATTATAAAAAATTTTATAATTTTTTTTTTAATTTTAAATTTAAATTTATGTAGATATGACGGAAAATACATTTGCATATATGATCATACATAACATGTAATTTGTTTCCAACGAAGCATTAAATAAATTTCTTTTTAAATGTGCGCTAATGACAAATGTCTTCATTAAATAAGAAATCATTCAATCTTTTAGCCATTAATGTTCGTATGCATGTGTATGCACAAATGGTTTCATGTGCTGCGAACACAATCAAATGCATGAACTAAAAAAATAAAATAAATTAAAATAACAAAAAATTTTCGAATTTCATTCATGTATATTTTCTATGGACTTGCAAAATCATGAGAAATATTTCGCATTTGCTGAGATAAAAACGCATTGGCTCCTTACTCTTTTCGCTTTGCACTATAAATAAATTTCACTCACAATTATTTCCCAGTCCTTGGCCGACACCGGTGTAACGAAAACGCTCTTCAATGTCAAGACGTCAGCTATGAGCGTACATTTCACCAAATCATTCTCGCTCAAGCCTTATAAATATGAATCAACAGAAGTATACATATGTACATAATTATTAATTATAGCAAAAATATGATGATGAAAATAGATTATTACTGAAAAATTGTTGTCGTCACTTGTGTGGGTGGTATGTAAAAAAAAATTTATTTTTATTTTTATCTGTGCGAATCACTTTAGATAAACATTTATAAAGTGGACGGTATTTTGAGACAAACCGTCTCCTATTTAGTATTCAGTTTATGTGCATTTGCACGTTTATGCCATAAAACACATAAAACTGCTTAGAAACAATAACTTTTTTCAAAAACAAATTGGACATAATCACAGATTTGATACGATATTAAAGAAAAATTTTTAATTTATACGTTAAGAATTCAATGTAATTTAAAACATAGAATTTTGTACACATATACAGAAGTACTATGTGTACAAAAATGTAATTCCGTTGGCAGTTTATTCAAAAGAAATAGAAAAAGTAATTGTCTTTTGTTGTGGCGCTATGTAGTGCCATGTGTATTAGATGATAAATGCGATTCGCGCTATTACTTATGCTTTAAATTTATTACCGATTTCTTTCGCCACCCTGGCATTGATCCCAATTTCGGTATCTTTGACTGCGCCCGCATGTGGCGCCCATGATGCGTAGTGTGTGTGTCCGCTGTACTGCAAACTCAAGCAGCCAGTGTCCTAAAATGCGAAGACGAAAGCAAAGTGTGAGTGCGGCATGTAAAAGGTAATTTATTTTTATCTTAATAAAATAGAAAATGCTATAAAAATGTAAACGTAATCTTATCTTAACAAAAATCTTAATTATGGCCTATATCTTCTTGTAATCAAGAGATTTTTACTTACATACGTTGATACGACACCATAATAGTTTTCTGGTAATAATAGAAAACTACTTTTCGTCGGCCGAAATACCACTTTAAAAGTGCGTTTAAACATTTCACTTTATCCTGATCCTAAGATGCATATGTCTTGCACGGAGAAATGGTAGTTTAATGCTTCCACTGTGTTCTCAATATTCCTCTTGCTACTCTTACATTATTTTAAATACTTTTTTGATTAAATTTAGTTTAAATAAATATTTATACAAGCAGCATGCAAAAATTAAACTCACTATATCAAATACTAAAAAAACACTGTCAATTGGCCACAATTTGAACTTTTGTACTTTGAATATTTTGTTCTTACATTTTCATATCACATTCATTCCCCTTTGGCGGGTTGCCACAGAACTAAAACACTTAAGTAAATAAAAACGTTTTTTTTACAAATACTTAACAGACTTGAATTAATCAATACGTTGTTAATATTTATGAAAATAATGATTTTGTTTATTTTAATCACTTTCATATGAAGGGAACTAATATTAATTTTGAAAAATATATTAAACAGTTTAGAAACGCATCCCTTCTTTTCGCTGTTTTGCGCCAGTTGCAAATACTAAGTGAAACCAGCTCACCTCTACCTCAGCCTTTCAAAGGAGTGGAGTTCTCCCTCTTCCTCTGCTTCCACCAGCGGGCACTGCTTCGAATACTTTCAAAGTGTGAGTGCTTTCAACCATTCGGACGACATAACCTAGTCAACGTAGCGGCTGTCTCTTCATTCGCTGAACTATGTCAATATAATCATATAGCTCGTTCAGCTACATCGTACCATCGTCTGCGGTATTCTCCGTTGCCAATCCGCAAAGGCCTACTATTCTCCGAGTATATGGTTTCAGCCTAACATTTAAACTCCGCCCACTCCTTGCCAAGATATGTTATTAAAGGACGTTTCTCTATGAGAATTGAAGTAGCGACTAAATCTATTTGCAACCTTAAGCTCTTTAGTAAATGCATAAGCAGGCAATTGAATAGAACAGCTGCTGTTAACTCTCTCTGGCAAGGCTACAGTGATAACAGAGTCAGCTGATAGGAGAAAATGGAAAAGCAAAAAAGATTTTACTCGCTTTTGTTTTGCTCCAAGCATTCATAATTGCATTTAAATCAGAATGCCAGATACAAGAACAGTTGCTTAATTGTAAAATAAACAAAGGCGAATTGAAAATTGTAAGCAAAGCGAATTCAGGTTTGTAAGCATGAGAGGAAGTTGAAATTAAAATTCAAATGATAACTGCGAAGAAACTTGTGCACGTTAATTTATTATTTTTGTTTACTAATAATCTTTCTATTTTTTTGAGTAATTTTGATGTAAAAATAGGATAAAAGACGGGCATTGGGGACAATGTAATTTTTTATTTGCCACCGAAATGAACGATAGTCTAAAGAATTCAAGTGAGGAGTGAGAAGTTGGCAAAACAGCAAGGAAGAAAAACGATATGTTAAAGTGGATACTTTTGATTTAGTACTTGAATTTTAGCTTCAGAATGTTATTTGCTTGAAAAGAAACAGTGATAAACAAAAGAGGGTTACCAAAAAGCTTACGATGCTTGTAGGACAGCAGCTTATTGGGGTAAGTATGAGATTAGAAAACTAAAACTAAGATAAGCATTTCATGGAGGGCTTAGCCGAGCCTGGTCCCTAGATAGCTTTATAGGTTATGTATAGAAACTTCATAAAAAATTCAGAACAACGAAAACTATATAAGCAAAAATCAGCTAGAAGCAACAAACTACAGAACAACGGCCACTGCACATATCCTGTATCTTTTTTTTTTTTTAGAAGAATCCACTGCTCGGCGAAAATCATGTCGGTATAACCCCAGCCCCAGAAATGTTTTGGACGGGAAAAAGATGGAAGTCCTGTACTAGGTCAGGATACTTTAGCCAACTTTACTCCTATATATTCCAGACTTGACATCGATATACTCAACGTAGTTGTAAATGTTAGAAAATGTTTTGATAGTAATGTTACCCTTAAAATCCAACATTTAATCACTTTGATCAAATAATCTTACATTGGAAACGTAAAGCGCCATTTCGACTCACGAAGTCCAAACTCTAAAGAAGGTGCGTAACAGCATATTAGCCCAACCATATATAGACGAATGAAAATCACAAAAACCTTGCGAAAGCACTAAAACCATACTATGGGCTCCTATATGGTGCACTAAATTTGACTTGCTACGCTTTAGGTTCTCCTAGTCTAGTTCAGTTTAGCGCAAGGTATTAGTTGGTTGCTCATATATTTTGTATTTGTATTAAAGCTTATCTTTTTATAAACAAACCCGCCGTATATATATATATGTATCTACCGATTTATTTAGTATGTAAATCATACATTAGTTGACCTTGTGTGCTTGAATTTTCAAAAGAATAAAGGCGGAAAGTGCATATTTACTATACAAACAGTCATAGTATATATGTACATGCTCGTACATAGATCGGCTTGCGAATGCAGCATTGATGCGAGTACTTTGAAACTTTTAACAAATTTACTTTAAACAATGAAGAGAATTTCAATTACGCTCAATTTTATGGTCATTGCTCTACTTCAAAAACACGTATCAAATGGCTGTTCGTTTTCCATTCCACTCTGGCTTCCTGTTTTTGTATATAGAAAGTATATAAGTCTCTGCTTTTAACTCTTATTTTCATTTGTAAAGATTTGTATTCATAAATACTTACATATGTATGTACACACATACCAAAAACAAACATTGGAAAATACAAATAATTTCAATAAAACGTATAAAATCTATTTATTAAAATGAATGATGCTTAGCTATTAGTATATATAGTTATAATATATATATATTATATAAAAGAGATTTAATTAATATCGGTTTTCCACTTTTCGCGAGCTTCAACTTTGGCTTCAGGGACAAGAGAGCTTTTAACACCTCCCAAAATATTGCTTGTAGCCTGAGTAGCCAAAACAGCCGGGCAAACAACTAGTTGCGGTATTTGCCTCATAACAGCACCTACAGCTCCCGTATATCCCTTCTGATCGTGCTCCGTAACAGCGGTTTCTATAAGTGTAGCCGCCGAATCATTTATTCCCTCTTTTACTATCAGGTACGCATTCGTTACACCTTCACGCATATCCTTTGGCCGATTGGATCGTTTCTTTTTATCTTGACGTAACCTACGGACTCGCCTTACAGATGGGCCAGAGGACAGCATGTCAAAAGCTGTCTCAGCTGTAAATTGCAACAATTGTATAACACGTGAGGTCAACTCTAAAGCAGCAAATGCTGTTCTCGAGGTAAAACTTTGTGCGCCCAGCTGTAGTCCCCGAATTATACGTCCATCACGTTGATATTGTACGATTGGTAAACGGAATAGGTCAATTACGCCTTGTATAAATTGTACAAGTGAATATGTTGGTCCAACACCTTTCAAAATTCTGGGTAGTTGATTTCTTTTTATGTCATTTAACCATTCTTTGCATAGGTATACCAGCATTTTCTCAATGCCAAGGAATCCGCGGCGGTGAACTATTTTCTTCAAACGTATTTCCGAGCACTGCAATTGGCCGAGGCCCATTAGAAGTCCTGCTATTGGACCCCTTGAAAGCTCTACTTTACGACCGTGGTAGTCGAAACGTATTGACACCTCTGGACCGAAAACCACTTCACGGAAATATATCGGTGCAGATTTCTCTAAATCTTCCGACTGAGTTTGGGATTTATCTGTTACTTCATTTTCCAACAACTCAAGGTTTGTGGATATCAGTTGTCTTGCTTTAAACTCATCATCGTCATCACACAACTCAACATCCATAATAGGTGCTTGTACTTCTGAAAGTGTATTACACTCTTCGGTCTGCTCTTCCTTATTGCTGCCCATATTTGTGAAATAATCGGCCAAGAAAATTAGTGTGTTTTGGTCGATATGAAGACGCAGTGGCAATAGTGAAACTCTCAGTGAACACTCTTCGGCTGGACTAAGCTTCGGCTTCGGTCTGGTATGTAACGCTTTGATAACAACCATTTGTTGTGGAGTTTTCACTGATGCAGTTCTTAAGTTAGGATTAAATAAAAATTTATTTATTTCAGATGATTGTAAACGATCTCTGATTTCGATGTCGTGTACAACAAGTACTTGACGTGAAGCTTGTGCTGTATGATTTGGATAAACTTCGTGCGACAAGCGAGCTTTTGTTATTTGTATTTCTACTAGCACTTCATGATTTCGCTGTGCGCCTCCAATAGTTTTCCATGAAAGGTCTTTAGGTTTACTTGCATCATAAACCTTTTCATTACTCTTCGAATATGACACACCATGACGGTAAGCATCGGACATGCGATATTGACTTGTTTCGTTTCTGGCATTCATATCAGTTGCGCCATGTGCGAAATCCTTCCCACCATAAAGGTGCCAGGTGAATGTCATCTCGCAAAGTGTGTAGCGAGATACAGGCATGGGAAATCCAGCGGGAGGCTTTAGTAAGTCCAGCTTGCTTGTAGTCAAAGTAAAATGATTGTCCACGATACGTATTGGATCTTCGCAAATTTTTACATCGCGTACACCACATTTTGTCACCTTTTGTTTCTCGTGCTCGGTAATAATACAATAATCATCCTCACGAGGATTACGTCGTTGCAAACTGGATTTGCGCTCAATATTGATATCACCCAAATCGGATTTAACTTGTGGCAAAACATCTATACTCGGTTCGACCGGTAAATATGAAGTGCTCATAACATGTTGCTCAAAATTAAAAATTCCGGACATATCATCGCCGCATTCATATTCTTCATCATCTACGGATATATGTTGTTGTTCATCGGGGAAATAAAACGGTTTCACTCCACATTCAGCTGCTTTCTTTGATGTAGATGGCGACGTACTTAGCGTGACATTCTGTCGAATAGCGTCAGCCATCATTAAATTCACTCGCTCCTGCTGCCATTCTTGATGCTCACTTACACTTTCTCTTCGTCTAAATTCCTCTGTTGAAGAGGCATTACTGCTAGCAGATTCAGATCGCTGAAGAGTTCTATCTGTATCATCTTGTTCCGAACCAGCAGAACCGCCATCACTAGCTAAGTGTTCGAGGAGCTGTGCTAAGGCCTTGCCAGAGTCACTGCAGGTTCTTAAATGAGCACCATGTACAGAGCATCTAAGATCGAATTTAGGATGTTTGTCAGAGTTCTCGCTTAATCTCAATGAAATATCGAAAAGACCGATATCAAGTACGGGTACCAAATATTTTGAATTGATGGCCGTTTTATCATCAATCCCTTTATAAGGCGCTATCGACAATATAAAGTCTTCGATTATGAATCTTAGATTACAGCCATTTACGGACGATATGACGTTGCTAGTTATTGTAAAAGCTCCAAATTCGACAAGAGCTCGATAGTCAAAATTTGTTGGCCTGTACTCTACCGCGCAGTTCCAAAGGCTAATTTGCATTTCAGTTATAATACCATATGGTACGTAACCTTCAATAGGGTAATCGACCACATCAAGGAAGTCAATAAGTTGATTTAACCAAAATTGGTTTGATACAAATGGATGATAACGTAACGTGGTTTGTTGGAGCCCTGTTGTAACTCTTAATCTTTTTATTCTCTGCTCTGGAACGCGTTTAGTTTCAATTACCAATGACAACATTTCGCGCTCTTTCATTTTCGGTTGATTACCCTTAGACAAGCCCTTAGGAGTTTTTTGCAACGTTCTTCGCATGTACTGCTCTAAGGGTATCGAAAGTCTTGAAAAATATTCAGACAGTAGGCCGCAATGATCCATCGTAATATCACTAGCTTCTATGCACAAGTAGCATAGATTTTTATCACTATTATGTCCATTGACTGAGAAAATTCTTAGCTTTTTTACATCAATGTCCATTTTTCCAGTATCCTTTTCAACGATTTGCGTTTCCTTGTCAGTTATGGGCAATGTTATATTTAGCAAACCACTCATTATTGAAATATCTATCGAAAACTCACTCTTCTTAATATCAGGCACATATCTGCTTGCCTCTTCCGATTTGCTTGGGTTATGTATAGAAAAATATATACTTTCTGTCATTGAAATCGAATTTAATACGCTATTGTGGCAAGCGACCGGGTCACTCTCCTCATTATCAGAGTAATCACACTCGTTAAAATTCGTATATTGGTTAGTAGGTGAGCTGGCCATATCACATATATTTTGTGTATTTTCTGTGCGTAGAGTGTTACTAGAATTCAATAAAGGTGAGCTGGGTTCCCACATGAAGAGGTCCATGTTGAAACGGTTATAAATAATTTCGTAGAATTGCTTTGATGGCAACGAGAGGACAACATTGGGTACATGCACTTGAACTTGAATTTTGGACGTGCGCATTGTTGCATTGCGAAATTCTTCGAGTTCTTCTGTTTCACCAGGAAGCAAAACCGTTTCTGATTCCATATTGTCATCACTTTGATTATGAATTGTGTCACTTAGTCTACATATGCGTTTTGCACTAAACGGCGTTTTATCAGAAAATCTTTTTATGTTTTCATAAGGATTTTCATTTGAAAGGTTATTCTTTAAGTTTGTCCAGTATGATTCATTTGGTATTGCCACAGAAATTTTTACATAATCCAAAGCGTTTAAGTGATTCCTCTCTGCATTTGCTACTAGAAGACGCACTGTTTTTGTTACTTCCTTGTCAATATAATACACATTGACTTCATTTAATTTCACCTCAAATACTCCGGCATCAATTTTCATATGAACGTCATCAAGTGTCATTAGCATATAGTCAGCGCGGATATTTTGTTGCCACCATGGGACACGATCTGGATCATGAATCGGTCTAGCATCATATATTGGAAATCGTAGCTTCACATCCATGGATACGGATGATAAACTTGTAACGAGTATAGACTTGTTTGTATCGTTTAAACGGCGGGAAGGCGTGCGATTTGAAGAAAACGTGGAATAAGGCGAGGGAGCGAACAGTGCACTAAGTCGATCGTAAATAGATATATCTAGTTCTATTCTCGACTTTTGCAAAGTAATGTCTACATTCGTCGAATTCACATCAGATTTAATATTTATTGAAACGTCAGCTTTGTTTGAGCTTTCTGTGCGATCAAAGGTAATTAATTCTGTTGGCTTTCCGTTTAGCACCTCATGTAAGTCCACCTTTTGAGCGTTAATGTTAATTTTAGATAATATTGTCTGTTTTATTCTATGTTGACTCCCTTCGGAGACTATTGGCGAGAAACAAGCAAACAAATGATTCTTACCAGCCGTTAATGCAACTGAATCAATTTTATTATCATCAATTTGATCAATGCTTTTAAAGAACTGTTCGGAGAAATTTATCATACTTTGTACGCTTGTATTGTTTAATGGACTTTGATTGTTGCTAAGACTTTCAACCAATATATCTTCTGTCAGTATAATCGATACTACCGATGATATATGCACTGAGAAACTTATTATTTCACCACAGTACTCTAAGCTTGATATTTTACGTTGCATCTTTGATAGACCAGTGATAGTTGTGCTTGAACTCATTGAGCTACATGGCGGCGAATATCTAATCGGCACATCTTTCCAACGTTCCAAATTAATATACTGTAAAGTGTCTCTGTTAGGAGGTATTGCTTCACTATCCATCCAATTTCCAATCTCAACCAATTTATCTCGCTTTTGAAATATAACACTCTCGCTTACTCCTCTTGCTCCTAGACATTCTGCATTCTCCTCATCTTCACCATTATCGTTTTGAAATGCTTCCAAAAGTTTTAAAATCAAATGTACCTGGCGTGGCGTTATAAGAGTATAAATTGAACCAATGTCGGAGTCAATTATAATCTTAGGACCATTTATATCCTCCGATTGTTTCATCTTGAGACGTATATTTAAATGGTGTTTAATCTTTAGAATAGGTATTGCACTGGATTTTGAAAAATTTGCATCGTATTTGCCTGAACTTGTATCATCCCTTTTTATCTCTTCTGTATACACACGTAGTCCTCGTATGCTAATATTGTGCTCAGCAAAGATGGGCATGAATATTTTGTTTGCCTCGGTATCGTCCTCATCATTAAGCGTTGTTGATTGGCAGTTATGTGCATCTTGGGAACTTTCGTTTGGATAATTTTCACAGCCTGTTATATTTTCATATATTAATTCATCTATATGAAAGCATAAAGCGATTGTTTTTGTATTATCAAATGACGGATACTCCAAGCGCAACGTAGTATTTTTAAATGACGCTTTAATTCTATTTAATATATTATCGAACAGTTCAGCAAATTTTTCCAATCCTGCTATTGATTTTGAGTCTATTTCAAACTCTTCATTTTCATCACTTTGCTTCATACACTCTTCCGCTAATTTCATAGAATTACTTGCGGATGACCACATTGATTCCAACATTGAGGCGACATTATTTTGTCTCTGTACTGGCCTTACTGAGATAATCGCGTCTTCAATTTCAATACAGCTACTATTGGACATAAGCGCATTCCATGGAACGGATACGGTAAGTGTGCCAAATTTGCCACTGATAACATCCACTACCCATCCCTGGGTATCAAACAAATTATTCAAAGCGTCGACATTTAGAGACACATTTTTCACCGTGGCTTTGCCATTGTATAAATCAATTTTTAGTTGTTCTATATTTAAGTTTTCTTCAAGATATTGCCCAAGATATTTTTGTAGAAAATATCTGCAGGTTTTTGTTTTCACGTTGTTCCACACATCGTACAACTTCATCCTAACGATAGAGAAGTTAAAGAACTAATGTAATTTTTCCAAAGGCTTTGTTAACTTTTCACTTATGCGTCGAAAAACTTCGTTTCAGTAAATATTTGCTTAATATACAAACACGAGGTTGCCACATTACTTTGCTCTTCTACACATATAACAATTTATATAAATTGCAAAATTTAGTGACAACAATTAAATGGTAGACACATCCTTTGACTTTATATAATTACATTCGCGTAAATTATCTTAAAAAAATAAATACCTAAACATAAGAAAATAAATTATTTCAAGATTTACTCGAAATTTAGTTTGAAATAGAGAAGAATATTTAAATAGGTGGCAAGATTGCATGTGAACAAAACCAGCTGGGATGCGAATTTAGTGCATAGATAAAACAAATTACCACTGTTTTGTGTTGATTTACGTTCTCTGTACCAGCTGACATAAAAATAACAGCAATGCTACCATATGCATGAAAATTTGTATAGGCTATTCATAAATAATAACAAAAGAATGATGTTATATACAACAATGTGATATATCCTCATACCCTATATAGTGAATAATCTAAATTACAAATTATTTCGTAACTATCAAAACATATATTTAAATGCCGTTTCATTATTTTTTTGGTTTTGAAATGTTCAACCGTGATAGTAGTGGAACGGTAAGCAAATTTAATGCGGACAAATTCAGTTTTCCACCAAGAATGGCGCTTTGTCGAGCCATTAAATGGGAACATTACAAATTTTAGATAAAACAGCAGTGAGCAGTTTTTTAACAATTTCATTCCAGCGTGATTAACTTACATGCACCTTCCTGCAATTTTAAATTCACCGAAGTGTTCGGCTCGGAAAGTATGATGGTAGCATATTTTTCACGCTTTTCATATTTCGGGCTTAACAAGTTTTTCCATGACTTCCAAAAGTTTCGCTCAGCATCGTCTGATTATTTCATACAAATTTTATTTCAAATTAATAAAATCATGGAACCCAGCGTAGCCGAATTGTTATTATTAAACTGTAGATCCCTTCAATTACAGCTCCATTTTTATAAATAAATATATATGCAGGCTAGGCTAGGTAAGAGCTTCTTAATTTTCTTATTGCCATTTTTTTCACTTTGTTTTAATATTCTGCGGGTTTTGAAGTATGGGTTAGAAACGAAAAAAACATGTTTGGTTCTGAAATTATTATTTATTGAAGAAATTAACATGAAGACCAAAGAATTTGCATTTAAAGAAGTGGCAATTTACAGGATTTAAAAATTTTGCAATAAATAATGTGACGAAAATCTCAAACACAAAAATCAGAAAAAAGGCAAGCGCGTGAATCTAATGTTCGATATCGAAAACATTTCGTTAACAACTTAGCATGCATACGAGTGATTGGCGGGTATATAAGAGTGAAGACTGATAATGCAGCAAGTATGACCCACTAATGTGTGTAGCAATATTGGCGTAACATTATTCGTTGTGTATACTCAGGTGAAGCGTTAGTTATTGTGTAATAAATCATATTTTTACAACAAATTTCATTACACAATTCAGTGATCGAAATCAATTCAATATTTATTACCAAAAACACCGAACATTTCTTTGCACTAAATTAATTAATGGGCAACTCTGCTTTGCTGTAGAAGAAAAACAGCTGTGTTGCGAATATTGTGCACACAATAGAATGCAAAATAAACATTTTCTGTTTTTAACCCGCGAATACTGATGACGCCATTTTATTACGTGTTATATATATGAATGAGTGCATAAGTTCGTGCCCGATTCCGCTGGATGCCGTTCGAATCGTTTGAGAGTGGCGCTCGTGAAAGAAATATTTACATATTATATATCAAATATATATCAAGATTTGAGTTGCTTAGTGAAAAGACGCATGGAAGATGGACAACGAAAAAGATCATATGCGTCATATTATGTTATACGAATTCCGCAAAGGAAAAACAGTAGGCGCTGCAACTAAAGATATTCGCGAAGTTTATTTGGACCGTGCTCCAGCACTCCGCACAGTAAAGAAATGGTTCGCGAAATTTCGTTCTGGAGATTTTAACCTCGAAGATCAACCTCGCAGTGGACGGCCTTCTGAGCTTGATGACGATGTTCTAAGGACTTTAGTTGCGAATAACTCACGTATTTCGACGGAAGAGGTTGCCAGTGAATTGAACGTCAACAAATCAACTGCGTTTCGTCGTTTAAAAAAGGTTGGGTACACTTTGAAGCTCGATACATGGGTGCCACATCAGTTGAGTGAAAAAAACAAAGTGGACCGTATGTCAACAGCAATTTCTTTGCTTCGACGGATCAAAAACGAACCTTTTTTGGATCGGCTCGTGACTGGTGATGAAAAATGGATCCTGTACAACAATGTTCAACGCAAAAGAACATGGAAACAGGCACACGAAGGGGCGGAACCGATGTCGAAAGGTGGATTGCATCCGATGAAGGTACTGCTGTGCATTTGGTGGGATATCCGAGGCGTGATCTATTTTGAGCTCTTGCCAGCTGGAGAAACGATCACTGCCAACAAGTATTGTCAGCAATTGGTCGAATTGAAGAAAGCAATTGATGAAAAACGTCCGATTTTGGCCAATCGCAAAGGAGTTCTTTTCCATCATGACAACGCCAGGCCACATGTTGCAAAACCGACCCTGGCCAAACTGAAGGAGATGAATTGGGAAATCATGCCGCATCCCCCATATTCACCCGACATTGCACCTTCTGATTATCATTTGTTTCGATCGCTGCAGAACAATTTGAATGGAAAAAAATTTAAAAATGTGGAAGACGTCAAAAACCACCTTGAGACCTTTTTCAACGAGAAACCGCGCGATTTCTATGAATCAGGCATCCGCAAATTGGTTGAACGTTGGGAGTGGATTGCCGAACATGATGGCGAATACATAATTGATTAATAAAAGCGATTTCTTCAAAAAATTTCAATTTTAGTTTGCACTTGAAATCGGGCACGAATATAATATATATATATATATATAAATATGTATATGTATCTATGATCCCTATTTAATAAAAAAAGCCAAATAAATTTAATATGATTATATTGTATATGTATTTTTCTTTTATTATTAACCATTGTGAAACGTAAGAAATGTAAGAAAAATTTTAATATTTGATTTACATATGTTAAAAATATAAAAAAAAACTAATATGTAAATATTCGTTTTAATAAATTAGTTTTACCTAATTTAAACGTTTATATTTGTTATAAATTTAGCAAAATAATTATAAATAATGCGCATATTTTCGTTATCATTTTTTTGTTTTCAAACACACAAATGTATGTAGCATGTACATATGTAAATATGTATGTACATCCTGGTAGGTATGTACTACACATATGTATATATATATGAGCGCGCAGATAAGCCTAGTAAATCGATATTGGTTTTAAAACACTAAATAATTCTTCAAATGAGGTTAGAAACGAAGTGACGGTGCTATAATCTTTTAAATTCAATTAAATATAAAAAAATAAAAATAAAATATTTATCCTACTATAATTAAATTATTAAACATTCTAAGAAGCTCGTTAATTCCCAGTTTGCCTTAACCTAAAATTTAATTAAAAATATTTTTTTTATTGATATTTTCTACAAAATTCTATTCATACTACTTAAATTGTGCATACTTAATATTTGTGAAAGATTACATATTTATGTATGTAGTAATATATGCCTATAAAGTGTCATACAAATACACTACCTACATGTGCATTTGTATGTATGTATGTATGTATAATGTATTTTTAAAAAAGCTTATCTTTTTACAGTAAATAGCAACAACTGCATTCAATATACCTTTATCTGTAAGCATTTGCAAATATTGCTAATTTAATGTGTTTAAAAATCCGTATGCATACATTATCATTATTATTATTATTGTTATTATTGTATTATCTGTGGCCATATATTTTGAGGTTGTAGACCCCGAAATTAGAGCCCGTTAAAATTGAATTAAAATTTTAGAATTCGCATAGCTCATAATAATAATAATATATATATATGTATTCTAAATATGTATATTTTATTTGTTGTAAATGCTCTGTTAAATACTGTAAATGCGTTGTATTTATTTACATACATATATAAATTTTAATAAAAACCTCCTGTGCAAGTGATATTATTTTTGTGAATTCAATTCTGAGTCTATTTATCTCATTTACCTCATAATTTTGCATAAATGTAAATACATACATATATGTATGTACATATACAAATGTATACAATGAGCTGCAAATTTTTTGGACGATCAACTAACAATTTCGCTATGCATGTATGCATACATACATATGTACATTTACGCCGATCTTTTGTTGTCGAATTCCGTTGAAAAAAATAAATAAATAAATTTTTGCAAAATTATTACAAATTTCACAGGAAAAAAATAAAAATAAAAATAAATATAACATTTAGGGCCTGCGACAATGCCCCTGATCTACGTATGTATGTACAGCAGTATAAAAAAATATTAAAATAAGGAAAATCCCAAAATTACATCAGAAATACTCTACTTTATGTGGGAATAATAGAAAAATGATCAAGCAAGTGATCAACCGAAAACGTATTCTGCCTCCAATGGCACCACTTAAAGAAAAATTTTATTAAAAATATTTTAGAAAATTTAGTGGTGGCTAAAAGTGGCTTCTTGGCAATGAATTTCCATGTATTATAGATTTGCTGCAGTCAATAGTTTCAAACACAAGTAATCAGGTTCGGAACGTTTTGACTTGACTGTACACACAAATATGTATGTATATACATATATGTATGTAGTTTGGTCAATGTCTTATTTAAACCCAAAATCACCTTTATTTGATATTTGTGAAAATCAGCACGTTTGCACATTAATACGTACATAAGTATATACACAGAAGGAAGCAAATTTATGTATATATGTGTGTACAAATGACAAGAGTACCTTTTTGGATTATAAACTGAACAAAGCAAGATTTCAAAAGTACATACATATATACATTTGTATGTTTTGGTTTGTGTATGTATTCACTTATCCTTGTAATAATGGAATTTCCACAATTTCTTTTTTTACTTTTTCCCCTACCAGCTAAGCCATGTGTGAGCCATACATTTGTACAAACAAACTGTTGTTCAGATTCGACATAAATTTAAAAAAAAAATGCAACAAAAATTAAAATAAAAGAAATCGACAACAAATATTTCTTATAAAAATAGTTAATAAAAAAATGTAACAGAATTTTTTATTAAAAATTCAACATAAACTTTCTAAAAAAAATGCTCAAAATTTAAAAAAAATGCAACAATATTTTTCGAAAAAAAATGCAAACAAATTTTGTTTATATTTTTTTATAAATTCAACAAAATCTTCTATAAAAAAATCACCATATACTTTTCAAAAACAAAAAAGCTTAGAAAAGCAACAAAATTTTCCATAAAAACATTCAAAATAAATTTTCCAAAATAATGAACAAAAATGTTCCAAAAAAATACACAAAAATGTTCCAAAAAAAAATGCAACAAAAATTTTCTGAAAAAAAGTAAACAAAAATTTTCTAAAAAAAAGTAAACAAAAATTTTCTAAAAAAAAAGTAAACAAAAATTTTCTAAAAAAAAATAGTAAACAAAAATTTTCTAAAAAAAAAAAAATAAACAAAAATTTTCTAAAGAAAATAACACAAAATTTAAAAAAAATGTAAACAAAAAATATCAAAAAAAATGTAACAAAATTTTCCAGAAACAAAAAAAATATATAAAAATTTATCAAAAAAAAGAAAGAAAAAATTTTCAAAAAAAAATTTCGTTAAAAAATCAGCAATTTAATTTAATTTAAAAAAATTAAAAAAAATTTAAAATAAAAGCAAAAAAAATTCTTTTTAAAATCAACAATTTAATTTAATTAAAAAATCTTCTGAAAAAAGAGTAAAAGAAAATCTCAAAAAAGAGCAAAAAATTTCCGTAAAAAAATTTAACAAAAATTTTCCAAAAAAAAATGCTATAAAATTTTTCTAAAAATAAGTACAAGTCTACAAAAATTTATCAAAAAGAAGCAAATAAAATCTAAAAAAAATTTCGTTAAAAAAACAACATATTTTTTTTTAATGAAAAAATTTGAAGAAAAAAAATTGGTATAAAAAAATTTGCAAAAACGTTCTGAAAAAAGTAAGAAAAATCTCAAAAAAGAGCAACAAAAAAACAAAACTTAAACAATAATTTTCAAAAAAAAAAAGAAAAAAATCAACAAAAATTTACAAAAAAAAATGCAACAACCATATTCTGAAAAAGCATTCGACAAAAATTTTCTTAAATAAAACTCAACATACATTTTCTAAACAAACATTAAACAAAAAGTCAAAAAAGAATTAAAAAAAAAAAATTCAACAAAATATTTCAAAACATGCGACAAATATTTCAAAAAAAAAAAAATCGTAACAAAAATCAAAAAAATTATTCAAAAAAAAAATGTAACAAAATTAAAAAAAAATCGTAAGAAATTACCAAGAAACAGTATAAACAAACATTTTCTTAAAAAAAAAAAAAAACTCCAAACAAATCTCGTTAAAAAATTAACAAAACTTTTCAATAAAAAATGTAAAAAAAAATTTCGTCCAAAAATTTTACAAATTTTTTGGGAAAAAAAAATTTCAAAAAAATGCAAAAAAAAAATTTCCATAACAAAGATTCAACATAAGTTTACCAAAAAAAAAAAAATCAACAAAAATTTACGAAAAAATGCAACAAAACATTTTCTAAAAAAGCATTACACAAAATTTTCACAAACGAAAAACAACAAAGAATTTTTCAAAAAAATGTAACAAAAAGTTCTAAATAAATTCTCCACCAAAAATTCACAACAATTTTCCAAAAAAAAAATGCAACAAACATTTGCTAAAAAACATTCAACTAAAAATAAAAAAACATTGAATTTTTCAAAAAAAAAAGCAACAAAATATGCCATAAAAAAAGTTCAACATAAATTTTCCCAAAAAAAAAACATAATTTTCAAAAAAAAAAAAAATTTGAAAAATGTACAAAAATTTCCTCAAAATAAATGCAACAAAAATTTTAAATTAAATGTTTTTGTTGTATTTATTAAACAATTTTCATATGAGAACCTAAAAATACATGACATGTATTATATTGTATATATGTATTGTAGGCCTATTTTATATTAACAGTTATATATATATATATATGTATATAGGCATAAGTGTGCTTGTAATATAACAAATATATGTATATATGTTTATGTAATTGTTGCATAAAATATAATTTAATAAAAGAAGGTTATTTAAAATTATTACGCTTTTAATTAACTAAAAATTAATATCGATTTTTTTTTTTTTATTTTTTTTTTTTAAATGCGTTACCATTGTGATTTAGTGCATATACATACATATATATGTATATATATGTTTGTATATAATCTTACAGACTTTTTTATTTCCACATTTGCATTAGTAGCGAAATGTTGCTGAACATTTTCTGCGCTTATGTAAAAATTACTAATAATATATAATATAATATATAACCACATTATTACAATAATTTAGCTTAAACTTTTATAAGTAACAGAAGAAATTGGGGGGAGGGGTTTTTTTAATGCATTTACATGCATAAATTAATTGCGATATATTTACACGGATAATAGAAAATTAGTTAACAACAAATATATACGAAAGTATATACGTATGTATATACAAAAATGGAAATTTAAATTACACAAAATACAAAAGGTGATAGTATACATATAGTACATAAAGTTTTTGTATACAAAATAAAATATTATAGAGATTTAGACATTTCCAGAATGCAATTCGATAAAAAAAGACACATTCCTACATATACATATGTATATATAATAGTATAAATATGTGTGTAAATAGAGATTCTTAAAAGATATACGAAAGTATGCATACACATACAGACAGACATATGCAATAACGTAAGGCTCGCTACAGATCCTGATCATTCTATACATACATACATATGTGTGTATGTACGCAATTATCATAATTTAAATATTAACACTAAACATTCTGGAAATTCACAAATTTTGATAACACTGAAGGGAATGTGCTTGAGAAAAAACGCAACAATCGTTTTTTTTTTACATTTACATTTTCGAAGCATTTTTGTTATTGCAAATTTTCGTTTCGTTTTAATTATGTTTTGTATGTTTGTACATATTTCTTATATGCATATCTTAAATAAATTGTGCCAAATGACCTATGCATTTACTTATTTTATTACTGTTATTATTCGAGTATGGCGTGGCGTCGTTTCTATGCATGCGCGTTTTTATGAATGTATGTATGTATTTATGCACTTCATTATATATATTGTATATATGTAGGTATGTATGTAAATTGCGAAAAAATTCATCAAAAATTCTAGTTTTCTCTTGGCATTTTATGCTATTGTAGAAATTACAATATAATTGTAAAAAATTTGTTCCTTGTAAAATATTACATCTAAATATGTATGCATGTATGTATGTATTTGGAATTAATTGTATTTTAATTTATTTCATTTCATTTCTTTTTTTTTTCGTTACTTTTTTTTTTCGTCTTTCCCCATTTTAGACGTCCAACTCTTCGAGTGTACGCGATAAACGATTATTGTCGATGCGTCTGCGTTGACTGCGCCGCACGGCATCGGCCCGCCGATAGGGTTCGCTCTTCAGCCCCAGCAATATGTCCTCGAGTGCACCGTTGTAGACCTCGTCCTGCTGCAGCAGCTTCTTTTCACGCACCGAATTCGCTTTACTCTTCAGCTCATTAATGACGGCATCCTGTAAGGAGAAGCCACAACCGGGCATCTGTTATCAATTCAAGGAGCCAAGATGTAGTAGGTGTGATTGGGGTATTTTGGTTTTGGGATGGTTAAACAGCATACAGCGTACAATCAAATGAAAGCAGCAAATAAAAGGAAAATAATCGCCAACACAGTAAGCCAGTAAGTAGTGCATGAGCATTTATATTTAGGGATGCATGAAAAAATAGGAGAAAGGATAAAGAATAAAATTTCGTTAGTTTTTTTCTTTTGCCGCCACCAGTTTATATTTAAGCATTTATTTAACCTAATTGAAATCATACAAATACAAATAGCACAAATAATATAGGCAATCTATGAATTATGTATGAGCGTAAAATGTGTCAGTTAATGAATTATGAAAGCTTATTGAGGAAAAAAAACCATTATGTTGCATGACTTTGGAAATGTTTAGTATATTTTATAAATACATTTTTGTTATTCATATAGACGGTACGTAATATTTTAAATACACACAAAACAAGAACATTTTAGGAGAAATACAAAAGATTTTGATACACGAGGGGGTTAACAAAAGTTCGGTCCGTTGGTGACTTTCAATTTGTTTTTGTTAAATCTAAAAATACCAAATCCATTGCAATTACTTTATTAGTCTTCCTTTCAAATTTTAGAACGATCGGCTAAAATGGAGAGGAGCAAACGCACGATAGCTGAGGACAGGTCAGACGAAATTCCACCACCAACGCAAACAGATGGTCGCCATGTTATACTCTTCGGGTTTCGACTTAATTTACAGCCAATACAAATATTCAGTGAATGCCAAATTGCATATGTAACGATGGAACGTCTTTAAAGACTATTTCTAAGTGGTTACGAATACTCCCGACAGAACATATTTTCCGTAGAGGACGAGCCACGAGAAGGTCGATCAAAATCTTCCACTGATGACGTCACTGTAACTCTGGTGAAGTCCAATTTGACACAAGAAATGATCGCTAATGCAACTCTAGTTTCACTTCACCCTATCTAAAATCGTAGCTGCTATTCCACTAGAAAAGGGTCAGACGGTAACTTCGAAATGATACACCGAAGAGTGCCTACCAAAAGTTTTCAAAAATTTGTTGAAAAACAGGAAGAAAGAGGATTCGCGGCGCTACATTTTACATCATGACAATGCGCCATTCCACAGCGATGAAAAAATGAGTAATTTTATTCTGATCTCTGGGATCGAAGAAATACGACCAGTACCATATTGCCCGGATACATCATCTTGGGATTTCTGGTTATTTACAAAAATTTCCAACTTTTCTCGATTACGTTGCCTCAAAGGAAGAAGTCGTAAGGTGTTCAGTCCAAGTTATCGGTGGCCAATTGCGATCACCTCTTCGAGAGATAACATGGGTCGGAAACTTTTCCTAAAAAGATCGATGGTTACGTTGTCTTGTTGAAAGCAAAGTGGCAAACAGTGTATTCGTTATGAACGGAATAAAAAAAATTGATTTCAGAAAAGAACAAGAAAAGAAGCTTCTTTGCAACTGGCCAGATTTGGCATTACTAATATTGGTAAAAAATTTAGTACTAATTTCGCTCGCTCCTCGGCAGGAAATGTGGATCCCTTTGAGTGTGTTTCTGACATGAAATAAAGCTTCTCTTAAAAAAATCATCAGCCGTTTGGAGAAGGCTTAGGATAAACTGTAGCTCCCTCCATTTTGTTGAAATACATCAAGACGCGAAACCACAATTTGGATGAGGAGCTCGGCCGAAAATCGCTTAAGCGGTTACAAAGCGCCAATTATATATTGTACATAATTGCTAAATAGAAATGTCCTTTTGATTGACGAGTGCTTATTGAATTTAATAAGAAGTGATTGTATATCTTACGACAAACGACCTGCCAGCCAGCAAGTCTTATTGACTCCCGACCGTCATACAGTAGTGACTGTATGGTTTTGTATGCTTTTCTTAAGCTTGTTTGGGGCAATTTCATCGAATAACTGAAAGAATGGACCAATGCCGAATAGTAACTAGTAACTGCCCCCTGCGGGTGAGGGGTTCAAGAATTTCCCGCGACACCGGAACGACCCGGACTTTTATCCGGCCAAGGACTGTCAATCCCGCAATACTCCCCAAAAAGTACTTTGGGGAATATTTTTCCAGTTACAACAACAACAACAACAACAACAACAACAACAACAACAGTAACTGCCATTGAAATGTGTCTTGCAATGTCTTGTTTTCAGCGGAAAATGGCTGAGTTAATGGATTGGTTTCCACAATTTTCAGACCTTAATACCATTAAAAATTTATGGGAGTTAATTTAGGGAAGGGTTGAAATTTCGATTTGTTTTCCACAGGGTCACAGAAGCATGGAACATCAGAGGAGGACTTCATTGACAATTTAATAAGCCAATGACGAGATTAAGCAATTATTATTATAATTACAATGTGTTCGCATTCGAAAAAATTCTTTATAAAATTATGAATTTATTTTTATATCTTTCATAAATTTGAAATGCTAGTACACCAAATATATGTATGTAAGTAGCAGAACGAACCCGAGCATTGAAAATTGATTTCGTTCGTATAAAGCTCAAAAGCTGCATATGACCCACTTTGGGAGGGGCTAATGTTTTCTCCGATATTGTATATAATATTATAATGCAAGAAAATCAATACTTAAAAAACGTTTAAAATTAATAAAGAATTTTCGAAATCAGCCTCAATTAAAATTATAACTTGACTAGAGCTTTCTTAAGTTTCGGCTAAATATAAAATAATTAAAAGTGATTAATTACTAATTGAATTGTAACTACATCCCGTAATTAATGCCTATATATATTTGCTCGTTACTATAAAATTTACGACGAATTTGTTAAAAATTCCCTTAGTGCCACAAAACTATATTTACTTCAACACCGTAAAAGTGTGCCGAACAACAAATGTTATTTGTTAGTTTCACATAAAATCTTTAACAGTACACATTTGGTTAACTTTCACATATATATATTTATACATTTTTCTTAAGGTTTATAGAATACAAGGTTCAAGGACGTCACCGAACCAATTTCGTCAAATATACACTGGGCAGGAATTGATATAATATTTATATAATAAAAAGAAATCCTTTTTTTTTTTAAATGTATATGTTGATAATTATGGTGCAGTAAAAAAAAAACAAAAAAAAATAAAAATAAAAAAATTTTGTTTTTGTACTTGTACTTTAGCGATTGCAAGGTGCAATGCGTGGTCTGTTTTGATCAAACCAGTGCATAGGTGGCCAAAGACCACCAATTTTGGATAAGAGTTTTAGCTTTATGCAAATATTCTAAGTACCATTTTTTTAACATTTGTCCGTCATAAAAGTAATTAGAACATTTTAACAACAACATTTTGTAATTGTTTTTAAAATAAAAAAAATTACCATGCAAGGCTTTAGAGTTTTATAGTCAAAGTCAAAATCTTAAGCCGTTTCATAGATAAAATTATGAAAATTTATTTTAAAATTTTCGGCAACCAAAAAAATTGAACCAACCTCGTCATTAAACATACGATTTAGCTCTTATCGTAACCTTCTATTCTATAAACCTTGTATATTTCTATTGTTTAATATTAAATGTGAGTATAAGTGGAGTACAAAATTATTAAAAACACAATAATAAACAAACTAAATTGAACACAATTTGAACAAAGCACAAAAAGACAAACAAATTGAGAACACATACACACACACACAAAAAAAAGAACGTTTACAAATATGAAAATATATGTATGTATGTGTATTGTAGTATATGTGTAGTTTGGTTAGGATTACTATTTGCTAATATGTAAGTATTTGATAAATTTCACTACGAAGCAATTGAAGTTTTGTTTTATGATGAAACTTACTCATTTTTCATCCTACAAACGAATTGTGAACCGTTATGTCATTTACCAGACGCTTAACTATTGTTTTCTATGTTACCAAGTTCGATATCCTTTCAACGCTTATCGGGTAAGGTGATCTTTTGTGGTGATGGTTGGTGGTGGTTGTGATGATCTTAGTGATCGTGGGAGCGATGCGTTTTTGTTTTTTTTGTTTGTTTTGGTTTTTTGATTTTTTCATAATGGTTGTAGTGGTGGTGGTGATAGTCGTGATCGTGATGGTGGTAAATATTAATTTATATGTATTAAGGCACTTCCTTCTTATATTCTATTTTGGCTAAATTTGGTTTTTGTTACGAATTAATGTTAACTAAGCGGTAGTCTTATGTGAGTAATAATACATTGTATATGTATGTATAAACTACATTAGATTTATATGTATGATTTAAATGTATATAGGCAATGAACGTGTGTGTGTATATATTGTATATTTATATGTCGCTGTGTGTGGTAGTATGAAGCGCGTTTTAATATTTGCATATATGTATCAATAATAAATTAGACTTCAGAATATCAGCAAAATTTCTTACACGAATTGCATTATGCTCGCTCGCATCCATCGCTTGGACTTTTCGCAATGAAATTTACTTGCAGTAATATATGTATGTACGTACCAACACCAATATACCATAAAATAACAATATTATTACCATTATTATTATTCATTTCAACTTAAGCCAAAACCGTTTTCATCTAATTTACAAAATGAACATTTTTTTCTGTTTGCCAAACATTCCACACGCCACATTACATATTACAATTACATAACGTTCACGAATAAGCACAATTCGTATCTTTTGCTTAACTGTACATTAGTTATGGACATTTCTATTCCTTAAATTTTCGTTTTTTTTTTTTTTTTTAAATTTCTTATTTCAATTAACTGCAATAAGTGGCTATGTCTTTTTCACGCAGAATTAATAAGCGCTTTGTGTAGTAAACTGCTTTCCATAGTCACGCAACCCAGTTTCTGTATATGGACGAATGAATGAAGAAAAAACAAAAACAATAACAACTGCAACCAACACTATGACCAAACAAAAATGATAAAATAATGAAGCGCCTTAGCCAAAAAAAAAAAAAAAACAAAAAATGCTAAAAAAAAAAGTTATCAAACTTTCATCTTGAATTACAATTAAAAAGCTTTAGTGTAGATATAAACGAATAGTTGTTGCTCTCTAGAAGATCAAGTAGAAGAAGAGAGATATTATTTCATCACACACTCTCACCTGTTGTTTTTTCTGGTTCATTTTGTTTCGCATTAACACTTGATCGCTTTCCTTTTTGGTTGCAGCTTGAGCGGCTGCTTGCTCCAAACGACGGCGTTGTTCGTTCTCTTGATCGTGAATCTGCGAATGAAGGGGAATTATAATTATCAATTATCGGAACTATTATTATATTAAAGGTATGAACAGTATTTAAGTGCCTGTGCGCTCCGAGTTAGAGTTTCAAGAATTGACCCGCGTTAAGGTTTGCCTGTCGTAAGAGGCGACTAAAATCCAATAGTTCCGGCGACGTTATATATCAACGGCGCTATATTCACGTAAAAGGATATTGTTGTACCCGAAGTCTTTGCCTGCCCTCTCGCATTGAATTTTCTGTACGATCGTCTAGCCAATACTTTTCTACAAAGCTACAGACAAAATAACACATTTAAAAGAATTAGAGAGAGATATTCAGCTCGAAACAGCGCCTTCTGCAGTGCTTCAAGCGAATTAAGTTCTCCAAATCAGGCTATGCACGTACATTAGTATAGCTCAAACAGTGGCGAATGGCTAAATCAAAGGAGCAGGAGCCAAGCTACTACAAGGAGAAGAAGGCATCTAATAGAAGCTGAACCTCCATCCAGGCACATCAGAGAGGAAGTACTAGATTTAAAGGACGACATCCAGCAGCACATGCAACAACCGCTGGACAGGAAGACGTACATACAGGCACTAAACGCCATTTACCAGGAATCAGTTAATCCCTCGAAGACTCCTTCCCTGTGAATGGCGTGCTCGGAGATGAAGTACGACCTATCACAGACAACGAGTCTGAGCTGCCCGGCGAAATCCGCGTGACACTGGTGCAACTTAGGTCTGGATACTGTTACAGGTTAGATTCCCACCTATCCAGACTTGACCCAACATACCCAAGGTATGTTCAGCATGTGGAGAGTCTACGCACGACACTAATCACCTCTTTACATGCCCCCTTAAGCCGACACATCTAACCCCCTTCTCCCTCTGGTCCGATCCCGTCGATACAGCACGGTTATGGACCTCCCGTTAGATGACCTCGGTGACTTGAACTAATTAGTCCGTCCCTAAGCGGTGTTGAAACAACGGCTACAACAACAACAGGGAGAATAGATAATTATATATATATATATAGCTAAGCGGTCATTAGGACCTTACTTTTATGCAGCACGAAATCGGTCGTGATTGCACTATATTACAAGGCGGTCAGGAGGTAGACTGAAAAAAAAGAATTCATCTACTGCGTGCCAGTCCATATGGGCATCGAGATAGCTGTTGGAACAGGACATAACTATGGATCTACCAGTTTCATTTAGAAAAGTGAAGTACGCACAAGAAGCGATCTTTTTTCGTCAGGCGAACGTTTAACGGAGCATTTCCTTTTGGCTTCGGCTGGTTGAGGGCAACAGATGCAGGAAATAGAAGGAAGGAGTAAAGACAGTACAGTAGAGACCCGAAACGCCTGTTTTAATTTGATAAAAGAACATCAATGTTCTTCCTCGACACAACCGAAATTAACCCTAAAAAGCTAGAAAAATCAAGGCCATCTTGTCCTCCAATTTGTGGTGCGCGTATTTATATTTTTAAAACAAATGGAGGGACCTATTTTTTATACTAAGCCGCCTTCGGACGGCTGTTGGTTTTTTTATGAGAAGTCTTTATTTCAAGCCAGGGCAAGGCAATCCCTGGCGATCTTAATACAACACCATTATTATTGCTTCTCACCTTAAATGCTCGCGTAAAGCGAACAATCAGCGCAAAGAAGGCAGCCGCATCAGCGTTACGCGACGATTCACCGAAATACTCAACACATTCCTTGAATGCTTCTTGAGCATTCTTCAACTCCATTTTGATCTTTTTCAATTTATCCTCCGAGTTGTTGAGAAAATCACGCAATATATGTGTTTGGGCGCCTTTTACGCGCTGCTCCGCTTCCCTTTTCACCAACTCCATACCCTTTTCCAGGTCATGCACATCTGTCACAATATTCTCCAGTGACACCTGCGCCGCTTTGTCTGTACAATACAACTCTGTGTCGAAGTTGAGCAAATCGGGAAACTTTTGCCGAATCGTAGCCACAATGTAGTGCAAGAGGGATGAACGTTTATCGGTCGACTTTGTGTCGATGAGTGTGTCGAGCGATTGCAATTTGAATCCGTAAGCGGGTCCGCGTTTACTGCTGTTGAGATAATTACCAAAGGCTAGCACTATTTCAAGCACAGCTTTAAATTTCACAGATTTCTTAAGCGAATTAGAAGCTGTTGTTATTGCTAGTATTTGCTGTAAGTAAAGAACACAATTTTTTAGAAAAATATATTATTTAGTATATCGTGCAAAGCTTACTGGACTGATTAGATGTAGGCAGTCGAAGAAATTGCCCATATAATTCATAATCGATAACTTTGATGAGATGCGTTCCACACGCGATAATTGCAACATGAATTTATCCTCTTCGGTGAGTAGGTTTTGGTCTTTACGCTCGGCTATATACTCCTTGTAGGACTTCACCTCGACATCTGTGGGCACCATCTTCTGCAAGAGCTCCACATTCTCCAGTGAGAGTTTCTTCAAATCTAAACTATGTATGGCCGCAATAACCTCATCGATGGGCATATCCAATTTGCGACGAGATATTGCTAAAAAAAAAAATGGATAATTTAATGAATGAAATTCCCGTGAATATATGTATATATTGATGCTTGTATATTGGGAGAAAGTTCTCAGTCATACCAATGTTTCGTAATCTCGTGTGCTCCAATAGCGACACATTGTCCGGTTTCTTGAAGCGCCTGCTGGGATAAGACTGCAGGCCATCCACTTCGCTGTTGTTGCCATTGCTCAATGTGCCACCAATACCGATTTTGAAGCGCTCTTCGAATTCATTGAAATCAATGTGTTTGAAAATCTTCTCGTCATCTAGTTCGTTGAAAATGGTACCTCGAACCTAAAAGTACAATAAAAAAACGAAGTTTTTTACTGTTCTTCAAAAGGACATGAGTTTCAGCGTGGTCTTGTACCTGATTTGGCTTCAAAGCGATCCAGTTAAGCGTGGGCAGTTTATATTTTGTCGGCACTTTGCGTTTGATTGTCATGGCACCGTCTGGAGCGGGCATGAAACCGGCCACAGGTGGAGGCGGTGGTTGGAACGCACACATCATAGGACCGCCATTAGGACCAGAGCCATAAGGCGGTGATCGTGAACCCACCGAACCGCCATTTGTCGACATAGTGGGTGACAAGGTACCACCATTGCTCATACATCCGCCAGGCGCTAGTGGCGGCGGCGGTGGTGCAGGTGGTGCAGGCGGAGGTGGCGGTGGTGGCGCAGAGCTGGTAGGCGATAACGCAGATGGCAGTGGTGGCGGCGGTGGTGGCAAAGGCGGAGAAATACATTTATCCGGCGAGGCGCCGCCATTTTGCAGGGACGTTTCACTATTCGAGCCGGAACGTGGCAGAGAACGAGTCAACGTTTGCAGTTCGAGATTCTTGCTTTTCAGCAGAGACTCACGTTTCTGCAGCTCCTGCTCGTTCTGCTTAAGTATGCGACGAAGCGTTGTGACTTCTTCGTCAAATTTCAGTTTCGTCGTCATCAAGTCCTCCCGTTCGGCTTTCAATACAGCCACCTCCGTCTCGAGCTCGGCCAGTTTATACATAAATTCAGAGTTACGATCTACCTCCCGCTCCAGTTGATCCTCCAGCTCTTGCACACGTTCCAAAGCAGCTGTCTTCGTTTCGGAATCCTCCATTAATCCGGCCACGTCGAAGACATTGTCTAGATAAGCCGAAATTTGCACCTTTAGCTCTTCCGATTCAGTCATACGTAGTTTTTCCAGATATTTGTCCAACCCTAGGGCTGTGAATTCGTATTGCAGATGCACGCGATAATTCATGTCTTCTACAGAGTGAACTACAATGTTCATGAACTGCATACACGCCACCATGAAATCAATGTTGAAGGCTTCAAAATTCATGAAGTATTCCATGAGTGTTTGGAAACGACGCTTCTCTTGGCACACATCCTTAAAATTGTCGAATGATGACAAAATGATTTCGTGACCACCCTTCACCAGACAAATGGCAGCCAGCAGCTCCAGCACTAACGCCTTTGTCCTCAACGATTTGTGTATCAGACTCAACGCAATGCAATTGATGGCTTCACGATGCTGGATTACCATGTTAAAGCCGTATTTGTTGTTCATTATGGCACGCAAGCACATTATACATACGTGTATGTCATCTGTGGATGCGCCCATATTCAATTTGGCTATATGCCTGGAACGTCTTCTGATGCTGGGACTGTCGAGCACCTCGGCCAGCGAGGGACGTAGAAAACCATTTAGATTGCCGCCAGAATGACCGGCGTGTGGATGCTGATGATGCCGCGTGCCATCCAAATTGATGCTGCCACTCAGCGGTGAACTCACTCCAACCGATGAACTGCCAAGACCATCCGCAGAACCCGAACCGACGCCACCTCCTCCAACTGTCTGACTACTTGTCATATTCAGACGCTCATCCGAGTCGGTGAGCGCCTCCTCAACACGTTGTTCATGCCGCATCATTTGTAGTCGAAAACTGAGGTAATCGACGAGCGCGTCGAGACCTTGATTCGTATCGTCGAGAAACTCCTTCACCCATTCAATGTGGTTAGTGCGCAGCGAGATCTCAAGATCACGCAGCACCTGCGTTGATGTGGACTCACCGACCATTTTGCGTTTCTGACAAAGAAAGTAGAGGAAGAATAGCTGTAAGTGTACAAAATTGTCCCGGGCAGGAGGGAATGGGAGCAAGAAGGATTTAGGATATTTGGTTATGCGCGTCGGTATTACAAACACACGAACGGGACGACCAAGGTGATTTGGTAGGATATTGAGGGCATTTTTTTTATTTTTTGGTTTATGCATTGTTTTTTGGGACAGGTGAGGTGTGCACAAAAGCCGAACCGAAAACAAAAACAATAACGTGTATTACATGAACATGTGTTGTTGTGATTAAAGTAAAAGTCATGTGGGAAGAACAGGTGATTTGAGTTTTAAGAAGCATGAAACGAAATTAAAAACAGAAATGAAAAACAAAGTAAGAAAACAGAAAAAAAAATGTTAAAAGTGTAAGTGTGTGAGTGTGTAAGTAGAGAAAACGAAAAGTTTGCATTAATTTTCAGTATTTTTAAGAGAAATTTAATTTTACTACATACAGCAATTAAAAAGATTTGTTCCAAACGCAAAACAATGGATAGTAGCAGGTAAGTCGATAAGTCGATTAGAGCCCAAGCCAAGCAGCTCTTTAAGTTTTTTGTTCTTCAATGGGGTAAAGGTGATTTTCACGGCATCAAAAAACAAGTTAAGGGATTTATAAAAAGCGTGGCGGATTAATTTGGTAAATATTCTCTCATTTTTATAATGGCTTTTAGGTTGATTCGATGGGTGGATTGTAGCAAAAAAGCAAACAAAATTTGGATGAGAACATTTCAGCCACAATAAATTTGAGCAAAAACAAGTAAAGAAGCCTAAATTAGATTATAAAAAGAGCAACAAGTTCACAAAACAGTCAAAAATAGGTCTGAAGTTTAGCTAAGTGTGGATTAAATATTCAGTCATGAGTCAAGTGGGATGTGGAATGTAAAAAATATGTTATATGGGACAAGTCCTTTGTCCGATTGTGCACATATTAAATTCGTCTTCATTCTAGGTCGTGGGAAAGTTTCAAGTTTTATGGAATTCTCTCTATTTTTCTAGTAATTTCTGACATGTCTGCACCGCATCTTATGCCACTCCTCACATTTTTTGATTCAATGCTATCATTCCCAACATATAAGACTTTTACTATGCAATTAGATATTTTTAATTCCGAAATGCTAGACAGAGAGACAAACTTTCAGCTCTTTTCATTTCTGGTTCAATGGTTATGTAAACGGGCAAAATTACTGTACTTGGAATGAAGAACAGCCTGAGGAGATTCAAGAGCGGCTTTTTCATCCAGGAAAACAACAGTTTGGTGAAATCATCGGTCCATATTTCATCAAAAATGATACATCGTATCAATCAATGAATTTATTGAGAGAACACTTCCGTGAGCAGATGTGTAATTATTTTGGCCGTTCGATTGGACACCGTTAGACTTTTTTCTGTTGGTATATGTAATGTCTGTGCGGAAAATACTGCTTCGATTCAGGTCTTGGTAAAAAATATCACCCGTCATTTGATAATTATCCGTCGAAATCCTTGAGCTAGTCATCGTAAACTTTACTCAACAGATGGACTATGTGAAATGCGACTACATTTTAAAGAGATAATCTTTAACAGCATAAATTTCGAAGAATGTTCTTTCGAATGATAATAAAAATTCCTCATTAAATTTGAATTTTCTTAATTTTTTTTCTTAAAAAAAAAAAGATAGCGGTTTGCCATCATTGGGGGTTCCAAGAATTCCACTCCTTCGCTCCACAAATTTCGAAGAGCCAAAGCGCTGAAAATAATGGTCGGACCGCACGATCTCCAAATTTCATGGTGTAAAGAGAGGAATGGTCATCTAGCACCTTCCCTCGTAAACATCTTCTGCCTCCTACCCACTACAGCTTAGTAAATTTCAGAAAATTCGCTATGCGGCGGATTGGAATGGTAAGGTGGGTGTACAAATGATTTTAAGACAGGGATGAACTTATTATGCAACATCTTCAGCCATAAATCGAATTGTTTAGACGCGCAATTTTTTTCTCAATCTTTGAAGAAATTCTGGGAGTTACCACATTATATTGATTTATTTGATTAAAAATATTTATTCGTTTCCTTTTCCCTGCTGAGCATGGATTTTTTACGGCAGATTATAATTTTCTCATTCATTTCAATTTACTTCTGGATTTATTTATTTTCCGAATGTTTCCAAAGAATTGCTGAGCTGTATTACGGCTAGACATCATTTTATTGTATCCTTGGAATAAATCATGCTATGGAATATACTACATATACACCATTCTCGCAATTAGTTCTCCCATAGAAAAACGAACGTGTTACGTAAGTTAACCTTCCTTTCATTATATAATGAAGACATGATCAAAATCAGCAAATCCGACTACAATACCAAAATATTTCGTAATCATATAAGCATGTCTCTATAGTCGTCTTATGCAAAAAAAAATTGCTAGAATTTGAATTTTGTTAAGATAGAAGAGCTTAAGAAACCAGAGTTTTTACAAAACTATTTCGATTTGTATAGCAATCTATAGACAATAGAAAGAAGATATACCCAAAAGCCATTATAAAATATAACAAAAAAATACAAGAAAAATAGAAAGACAAATTAGTTAAAATTTTACAAAAAAAAAAGGAAGACAAAAATTGAAAAAATTAAACAATATAAACAATAGATTGAAACAAGAAAGGCGACTAAACTACAAACAAACAATGGACAGACAAAATACTCTTTCAACCAACTGCAACTACTACTATACATTTACGCTAGAAACAACAAAGATACTACTAGTATACAAATACAAATGTTTATATGTACGAATGATTGAGATTAGAAAACTTACCCGATGACTTCGAGATGCTTTTGGATCGAGATATGTCCGCAATTTGTTGAGATAATGAGATGGTGGATCTTTAGCTTGCACCATATCCTGGAAATAATAGAAAAATGTGATTTAGGTTGTATATACATAATTCGATATATAATATATTATTATAACAAAAGTAAATGATTGTTTCTCCGCGCAGACCATTTTTGGTCCAAACTTCACTAGATATTAGTATAAGCTTAAAACTCAGTTAGCTTAGAAACCAAATCTGGTCTTAAAATAGTTAATATTATGTGTATTTCACAGCGTCTAGACAATAATCTGTTCCGATAGAAGTTAAGCGTTTATACCTTTTTTTATTTATAATAAATTAAACAAATAAGCGGGGGTTTTAGTTTAACCAACTACTTGAGTTATATGCAGACCGCAGTTAATTGATGGCTAACATAAATTGGAAATTAAAAATAATAATAAAAATTAATAACCATTATCATTGAATTTATTTTGTTTTTTTATTTTGTTCTATGTTGTTTCATTTCATTTTATTTGAATTTATTTTACTTTTTATAAATTTATTTAATTGTATTTAATTTTATATATAGTTATTTATTATTTGTTTTATTTTATGTCATTTAATTTTTTTTTTTACGTTATTTTATTTTATTTATTTTTCATTATTCTAAATATTTTATTTAATTTTTTTTTTTTATAAATTTTTATACAGTTATTTATTGTTTATTATTATATTTTTTGTTTTATTTTACCTTAATTTTTTTATCTTTTTAATTTTTGTTGTATAACAAATATTCAATTCATACAAACAACCAGGCCTCTTAGTTTACTTGATAAAAATTAATATATAGCATGGCCGCATAAACAAATTATAATTTTTTTTAATTCTATATAATTTAATTTTGTCTAATTTTTATAAGTTTACTTTATTTTATATAGTTATTTGTCTATTATTATATTATTTGTTTTATTTTATGTCATTTTATTTATAATAATTTATTTTAGTAATTTTAATCAATTAATTAATTTTTATATATTTTATTATTTTTATTTCATTTCATATAAATGCAATTAATTTTATATAATTTTATGGTTTTTCATTTTAAATTATTTTATTTTGTTTCATTTTATTATTTTATTTTATTTTTATAAGTTTCTTTTATTTTATATTGTTATTTGTCTATTATTATATTTTTTGTTTTATTTTATGTCATTTTATTTATGTTAATTTATTTTAGTAATTTTAATCAATTAATTAATTTTTATATATTTTATTATTTTTATTTCATTTCATATAAATGCAATTAGTTTTATATTATTTTATGGTCTTTTCAGTTTAAATTTTTTGTTTTGTTTTATTTTATTATTTTATTTAATTTTTATAAGTTTATTTCATTTTATATAGTTATTTGCCTATTATTATATTATTACTTTTATTTTTTGTTATTTTATTTAAGTTAACTAATTTTGGTATTTGAATCAATTAATATTTTTTATATTTTATTTTGTTTCATTTCATTTCATATAAATGTATTTCATTTTATATAATTTTATTATCTTTTTATTTTTTTTATTTTATTTTACTTTGTTTCGTTTTTTTATTTTGTTTTATTATTTTTTTTTTTTAAATTATTTTGTTTTCTTTATTTTTATTTATTTTAATTTATTTATTTAAATTTATTCTGTTTTATTTATTTTATTTTATTAATTTTACTTTATTTTATTTATTTTAATTCATTTTATTTTATTTGTTTTAATGTATTTAGTTTTAAATACAGTTAATGTTCAGAATTATATTATTTGTTTAATTTGTGCCATTTTATTTAAATAAAATTTAATTTAATTTAATTTTTAATTTTTTTATTATTTTATTTGTTTTATATTATTTTTTTAATTTTATCAATTTTATATTAATTTATTTTGTTTTGTTTTATTTTATTTTAAATTAATTTTTTTTTATTATATTTTATCTTATTATATTTATTTCATGTCCTTGTTATACTTTAATTTTATTTTATATTGTTTTATTTAATTTGTACCATTTAATTACATTTTAGATAATTTTATTTAATTTTATATACTTTTAGTTGGTTGTTTATTATTATATATTTTATTTAATATTATTTTAATACTTTAATTTTTTTATTTATTTCCAATTCCGACAGTATTTATCTTATATATACACAATGAATGTTGGCCACTTTCCACTAAAAAAAGAAACAAAAATTTTTTAAAGCTTTTTCATCTAATAAGGATAGCGAATTTTTATTTCGCAATATTGAAGCCACACTGTACGTACACGTATGTATGTATGTATGAGGATTAACACATCATGTACAATTGTTATCCGACGGATATGCAACAAGGCCAATGGGATACCATATATGTGTATGTATGTGTGAACACATGAAAGACCGCACTTCGTTATGCATCATCTCGCCCGCCATATGGACCATTGTGATATGACAAAGAGTCATCTATCAGCGCAGTGGGAGCAATAAACTCCATTTTTTCGCAATTAAAGCTCCACTTTAAAATGGGAAATTGTTAAAGATAAGAAAATAGCACATTATTTACGCAATGATTTCTGGTTTCCTGACCGCTTGCAGATATTTAGAAGCAAGTTTTATCATATTTTTTGTTGAAGTTGATGTACTTATACGTATATATGTATATATAATATGTATATGCACGTCAGAGCTTTGTATTTTGTGATAAATTAATTTCTTAAAATTAAATTCGTTAAAAAGATACTAGAGTAAATCGTAGTAAATCATCGATAATTTCGCGGTTCATGATTCCTTAAAATCAATTATGAATGTTTAGCAACGAAAAGAATGGGATTTTAGGCGATGAATTTAAAAAAAATACAACATTTCTACCTGAAAGATAAAAACAAAAAATACTTCCAATTAAGGTCAATAAACAGCCGCTTCAACCGAGAGAAAAATAAAACAAAAAGCTCCGGATGAGAGACACCGGCAGAAGGGAAGAGCGAAGAGATACATAACTTCCAAGAGCGTCTAGAACGCGCCTATGTGCGCTCTCCACGATGGCAGAATTATATTAAAAAAAAAAAAAAAAAAAAACCGGAAACAACAACCGATAGTCAAGGTTTTCTCATAGAACCTTTGAAGAGTGATTGTAAATTATTGAAATATGGTATCGAAATTTATGCCTGTGCGTTTCTTCCATTTTATGATTAGTTTGGTTGACCAAGGCGCACATGCGGAGTTTTGTGACTAAATTTCTTTACCAAATTTACTTTCTTAGACATTAAACCACCAGTAGGCATACGTAGAGTTCGCACGGAGGAAAATATCGTAACTATTTCTGCCAGTGATAGTGACGACCAAGAATTATCGATTCGACGCCGTACGCAGCAATTTAGCCTCTGTTACCAAACTACGTGGACAATTTTTCAGAGGAGTGTGAAACCCTGAAAAATATTAGAATTGATGCCACTCGACCTATTACAACGGCTAATTGCTGCTGAATGGGCGCCGGCAAAGTTCTTTTTTAAAAGAAAAATTTTGTTCAGTGACGAAGCCCATTTCCGTGAAACAAGCAAAATTACTTTACTTGAAGTTAATGGCAAACGGAAGCATTGCAAGAACTACCAATGCAGCCCGAAATATCCACTTTTTGGTGTGAATTATGCCTTGAGACGTACGACGACGAAATAGGTCGAAACAAATGTCGTGCTCTGCCGTGGGAGGATTACATATATATTTTTTTTGGCCCAAAGTGAAAGAGCTAAGCTCGCTGCTCATGGTGTGTCAACAAGACGGTGCATCATGCCCCTAGGCTCGCGAAACAATGGTCCAATTAAGAGCCGATTTAAGAGAACAGTTTATTTTAAGTTTGGGGACAGTCAACTGCCCGCGTGATCATGTGATTTAACACCTCTAAACTTTTTTTTGTCGGGTTATGTCAAAGCTCATGAAATAATTTTCAGTAGATAGTCGATAGGTACACTTATACTTGTCCGTGACTATCACCGCCGAACGTAGTGCGCCTGTGTGGTTTTCAACTCACGAGCGCTTAACATATATTCGAGAAGGATTTTCACCTGATCGAGCGAAATCTAGTGGAGGGAGATAGCAGCAAAAATATAGTAGAAAAGTAGTAGTGTACAGTAGTGTGTATTTAGCAAACGGTTTTCACCCTTTTACCGAAATGAAGACTAGCGCAGGTAATTTTACACCACTACTTTCACAAAACACGGTGTGGTTGAATATTTGTAAATCTCCTAATCAATAAATTTGTTGTAACAAAAAAAAATTGTGTCGTTATTTTAGCCCGAGAAACTTCGTTATCGATCGTTCTACTGACTCAAATGAAAATTTCATTTCGAATGTTTTTTTTTTTTAGAGAAATAAAAATATCTCAATTTTTTCATGTTCTCAATGGAATTATACCTTTTATTTCACGGTTTGAGTTTAATAGAAACCTGGGTGCTAACATTTTTCGCTTCTGATTATTCTTCAGTGAACCTTTAAAAACTGTGCGACTAAGTGAGCAGTTGACGCGCTTAAATTATATTAGACTCTAAATTCTCTAAATTCGAAAGTGGAAGAAAGATAATCGTAAGCTGCTTCAAGTAAAGCCCATTAATCTTTTTATGTACGAGGTGTGTTCAAAAAGTATCGCGAATTTTGAATTTTCGCGGGTTACGTATAATCGAGTTTCGATTTTTTTGTGGCGTTATGTTGGTACTCATCTCTGTCACTTATGCCGACAAGCTCGGCCATTTTGAATGTTCACTTAATTGTTGACAGCTGCTTTGCTTACATGTGTTTTGGATGGTCTTCGATTTTTACCCATTTAAAGAAATGGATCAAAGAACCTGTATCAAATTTTGTGTGCGCGGATGCATTCCGAATGTTGACTGTGGCATACGGAGAATCTACCTTGAACCGAAGCAACGTTTATCGGTGGTACAAAATGTTCTTAGAAGGCCGAGAAGATGTGAACGACGAAGAGCGTGCCGGACGCCCGAGCACTTCAACAACAGACGAAAAAAATTAATTGCAGGGGCGTGGTGCAACATGAGCTCTTGCCACAGGGTAGAACGGTCAATAAGGAAT